ACATTCCGCTGCCGGGATTTGAACCCGAGACCAAGCGACCCTGAAGTGGGGAAATCAATGAGTACAAGTTCAGTAGAGGAACTAACCATCGTGCCACTGCCATCAGATGGCCATGCCACCACTCTGTTATTGCCACGATCAGCTATATAGATCTCATCCTCAAACTCTACAGCATTCATAGGCTCAGCCAAGTGCGCGAGAGAACTCCCTAACATGGGACCGCCTCCATGACCACACCATGGGACAGGAGACCAACCTCTCCAAACAGCAAAAGGTATTCCCAACTCACCTCTTTCACCCTTCCCAGCTATAACCCGCATCGATGGTGGATAGGGGAATGTCGCCGCGGCCTCCTCAGGAGATCTCGGTATATTACGAGTGGATCGTGGAGGGCCTTCATCAATACAAACAACACGATGCGAGCCCCAGTCGACCTATAGTATGATAGACAGAGTAGTAGGATTAGAGGAACACTACCAAGAAGGCGTAGCCAGCATCCTCATTAGGCACCATATCTATAGGCATCGAGCCACCCTCAGTACGGGGTATCCAATTATAACACAACCACCCTTCATGCTGACCACAGCCCTGAGGGAACTAGTGAGATGGGGGCATTATGAATAGACGCATCCCTACGGCTCCAGGCCGCCACATAGGATAGCACGAACGACGGTTGACAGGTGAACGGTTATCCATATGCTGCAGCAAGGCCGATCGTAATAGAGACTGCAGGACGGTATCTGATGATGATGATGATGTTATGAGGTTATTGAGAAGAGGAGAGGTAGTAAACTCACCACATCGACCTGGGTCACTCATGAAGTGTGATAATGGCGAGGATTGTAGCATAGCCAGAGTGATGGCTGACATGAGCCCGAAGCGGACCTGAGAGGAGAAACAATCTTTGATGAAGAGGTGGGGGTGGTAGGCTGCTGACGAGTGGTATAAGAGGATCCAAATGGCCTGTGTTATCATCTATATCCTTACGCGCTACCGACCATCGACATATAGCAAACATGACCTATATAGAAG